TTTTTTTTTTTTACTTTTTGGCAATCCAAACAAATTCTATCATCAATTCTAATAAATTCTATCCATTTAGCCCTTGTTTGCCCCCCATTATATCACATTCCATTACATTAATTTTTTCTCTCTCTTCATTTCAACCATCCATTCATCAAATAAAATAATAATACACACAAATCAAAAACTTTTCAACCACACATCTCCCATCAATCACTATTCTAAAAATTATCTACCCCCCCAAAAATTTAAATTAATGGGGGGCAAATAGGGGCTTAATTAACAATTTTCATGAAAAACGAAGCCAAACAGATGAAGTGGAAAATTATACCAATCAAACACAATTAATTACAATTCTTAGTAAAATAATTTCTAGGTAAACCAATTCCTTGAAATTTATTTTCTTTTCACCAATTTTCCACATTTGCAATCAAACGGACCCTAAGTACATTTCGTTACATGACACACCAAGAAACTGTTTTATTGTCTTCATTATAGGTGTTAGCTTGTCACTTACAAAATGACTATTCAATTCTCTATAATTTTAATTGTATTCAATTTAGTCCTCTAAACAATTATAAATTAATCGAGAGCATGTTTGAGCCCCATTTTTTTTTTTTTTTTTGCAAAAAATGCATTTTGAAACGGTGATTTAATGAAGAATGCGTGGTTAAAAATAAGGAAAAGTTTTAGATTTGCGCGTAATAGTATTTTATTGAAGAACGCGTGGTTGAAAATAAGAGAGAAAAAATGTATTTTGAAAATAATGGGGATCAAATAAGTTCTGAATTTGAAAAATTAGAGCTGGGAGGTGTTCACTTTTTTATGAATAATCTATAGAAAAAGTTCAATCCATATCAATGTCACATTTCTCACTCTCAATTAAGCCAAATAAATCTATAATGAGTTTATTGGATTACTTTATTTGAAAATTTTGGAGGTTCCTAGTTTGCATTTTTACCATGTACATCTTTGTTATCTAACGGTATATCATTTTTGATTGTGACATGAATGTCAAAGTTATATTAATTTTTCATTATGTTATTTAAATAAAAAAGGTTTTGTATTTATATGAAATAGATTGTTTAGTTTATCTCCTTAATGTCCACTTTATCTCCTTTCCTTCCTCACGGGAGATGTTCCTTCAAGGGGACCAAAGAGTTAGAGGACTACTATCATTTATTGTATTTAATTTGTTTCCCTGATGAATGCTGGTTACTAGGCCTGGGAAGCAGCATCGAAAGCTGTAAAGGATGAAGAAGCAATTAAACAGAAGCTTTGTGAAGACTTGAATAATCTGGTCAATATCTCGTTTTACTGAGTCTTCATATATTGTTCAGTTTATCTTATATTTACTCGAGGCAATTCTCCTCTACAGGTTCAGGAAAGTAGCCACACACAGTTTACTAGACTGGAAGAATTGAAAAGGCGTCTGGAGGCTTTAAACCCGAGCAGATCATCCATTCATGCACCCTCTGTAAGATTTCATTCCCCTTATGTCTTCATCTCGGAGACTCTTTATGGGATTTCCATAGATACGTAAGTGTATTTCCAGTTTAAGTTTCATGGGCTTATATCTTAGCAATTCGAATTTTTATGAAAAAAAGCTAATAAGATCGATCCTAAATGGTCACAGGCTGTTTCTATTTGGACACATTGTTCTGCATGACCTTTGGTGAAATAAAAAACAAAATATGCGCATATTAAACAAGTTTTTCTTTGGACTATTTGCCTGTCTGGTGCATGGTAAGTGATGGAAGTATAGAGATAAGCTTTCCCCATAAGCTTACCTTCCCAAGCCTTCCTTTTGTGAATTATGCAAAACCACACACACGGTCGTTTAGATCAAATACATTCTCTAAATATGCAATCAGGGGCAGACACAAACATGATTACTTGTCTCAAGTATGATACACTCGCTAAAAAATAGGCTCCCTCTTCTTCAATTGACTGGTGTACTTCAGGATGATATTTGAATAAGATTTTAAATCCTTTGATGTTGACATAGTGACCCATGGGGGTAGAAGTGATGCATTGTATGCTTGGAAGTCATTCCAATTCTTCGTAAGAAATGTAGTGCAAGGTTTGATAAAAAATGTACTAATGGGGAGTGAACCAATCATTTCTGTTGTATGATAATTATAGTGTATCACATTAATCTCGTTATTCATCTTTATTAAATTAACTTTTGAGGTAATGCTGTTTACCCACTTGTCAATCCATAACCATATGAATTGCAGATGTGATTATATGTTTTGATCAGTCAATTTCTTGAGCCTTTGTTTCCTATAATGGATTTTTGTAATGACTCAGGTCCATAATTCACTGTAGTCGAGAAGATTCTATATCTATTGTCCTTCTTGTCCATATGAAGGAGATAATATGTGTGTGGTGTCTGAGACAGAGGAGAATAAAAATTCCGAACTGTAGGGGAAAGCTCATCTAAATTCAACCTCTCAAATTTCAAGTTAACGAAGTTTTCATCAATTTAAGTTTGCTGAAGTAATTTAATAATTTATTCAATACCTTCTTATTCCAGCAAGCTTGTTAGAGTTGCCTTGGCATTTAGTATATAACATCTCTCATTTCTTCGTCATGATGAAGGCATTTCAAATCATTTTGTTCTTGCGATGACAAATGAAGAACAAGACAATAGTTTATTATTTGAAAGAGAAAACTTTGCATATTGAAAGTATACATATAGATGTAATTTTTTCTCCAACTCTTGTATTCTTATTGAGGTGTTAATTTGTTTAATTTTCCCCCCCAGCCACTGGCACCCCATCTCCATTTTGTGTTTTAATGTATTAGGCACTGTAGCAATTATCTCGTAGCAGTAGTGTACAATTGCACCTCACCACCACCACCTAGTCATATCATTTTATGAGTTTTTGTTGTTCGTGCCTGTGTAATGCATTGGTGTCATTTTTGTAGCGAAAATAACTCCATTTATAGAGAATCAAGTATTTAGAAAGTCCATCACGTCCCCTAAGAAATTCTCAGACTCTGGCTTGAATCTCATGTTTAGGATGGGAATCCAAGGGGACCAGCACAACATAGTATAACTCAGGATACTTCCACAGTAAGTACATCAGAACCAGCAACTGGACTGGCTATTATTACATCCAGTCGAGGGAATGTTCCCCAAACAAATGGCCAGAACCAACAGCCTTCTCTTGATGGTGACGGAAGAGGGAAGAAGAAAACTATGAACCCCGGGAGAGGAAGGGGAATAGGAGCAGGACTCAAAGGCAGAGGTTCAGCACCACCCGGGTGGACTGGGGCTGGCTTTGATGTGGATGGTAGATATTGAGAGTGGCAATTTCAGAATCTCTTTACCGTGGTAACATTCTGGCACTAGAGGTTCACTTCTCTTCGACCGTTATTCTTCCTCCACAGAGTTTTTACTTTTTATTTGGATTATATCCTCACAACTTATACATTATTGTCAAAAAAAAAAAAAAAGATGAAAAAGAAAAAGAAAAAGAAAATGGTGTTATGAAGAGTTTCGGACTAAACTTTTTTCTGATCGTGTCTATTTCCTACCCAGTTTCGTCCTGTTTTAACTTTCCCGGAATCAAATACTGCTGATATTGGATGCTCTCGGGGGTGTTTGAGCCCCATTATTTTTTAAAAATGTATTTTGAGATAGTAAATTGATAGAGAATATGTGGTTAAAAAAGAAAAAAAAAGTTTTTGATTTGCGTGTAATATTATTTTAATAAAAATGTGTGATTGTAAAGAAGAGTGATAAAAATATATTTTGGAAAAAATGGAAATCAAACATACAGTAAATAATATTGCACTAAATCAGTATGATCTTTTCTCACATTATAGAGTAGAATCTTTAAATTTCCATCTTGATTTACCCACTATTTTTAAAATCAAATCTTTAAATTCAATATCAACTCTCACAAATGTATATCTTTCGCGGACTAAACTAGCTGCACAGGAACAGGGTCAATGATGAGATATAGCCCCTATTTGACACCGATTAAATTCTAAATTTCAATTTAAGTTAAATCAATCATTAATTTGAACAACATACTTTATGGGTTTCACAATGTTTCAATCATACATTTCATCAATTTTTATCAAAATTTACTAAAAATCTGATCTTAACAACTTTTGCGTAATTGATTTGAGACAAATTGAAATCCAATGATCAATATAAAACAAACTTATAATGTTGGCAAGAATACTTCAAAATTCAAATGGACCATCATATTTCAAACATAAATAGATAGGAGGGAATCTAACATGTTCTTTTATTTTCTTTTGCCATACATGAATCCCACTAACCCTACCCCACTAACCCTAGCCCCAACTAAAACGAAAAATAGTCTTGATAAGAAAATTGAAAAATTCATCCAATTTGATGAAACGTCCCGGTCTCACGGTAATTATAATGCACCCCACTCTATTGAAATAGGATTCGCATAGAGCTCCGTGAAATTTGGACCTTCTCATTTGTAAAAAAATTCCTGGCGTTCATCATATCATATTTATAGGCCAAAGAAGGCCTCGGTCCACTCTGTTTTTGTATAATATATCTTTTAATATTTATAAAATAGATCTTGAAACAATAAGAAATTCCATAAATGGATGAATATTAGCCTACCATGTTATAAAGATACACATTTAAAGAGAGTTGATACGTGTTGTTCCTAATTAGTTGTTTCCTGATATATATTTGACACTTCGATTTATCACGTTTTCTTACAAATTCGAAAAATGTCAAAACATGAAGTTTTTATTTTGTTTTGGAAAGGAAAATAATTTTTTTCTTGACCTGCCAAAGAACACATTGCAATCATACATGTATATGAGCATATATAAGTATTTAAAAACAATAAATATAAAAATTCTAAAAAGATTATAGTATTTCAAAATGTTAAGGTGGTCCCTTAGGAATTGTAGATAAGATGCATCAGGACAAACGCCCCCATACCCCGCAGAAAAAAAGTACCAGAGAGAGCGTTCAACTGAGATTTTGATGCACTCATGGCCCATGGTGCGTGTCTTTGGTTGCATCCACCTTGAATTTATTTTATTTATTAATACTCTGACATGTACAAACACTATTATTGTAGAAAAATAGAGACGAGACTTGGAACATGATATATCTACATATTCTTAGAAACACGTAGAAATAGGGACGAGACATTAACTTGCTATGTTTGAATATTCTTAGAAACGCGTACTTTTTTATAATTTTGTCTTCGACATTTAATATGTTTGTCTGCTTATGAATATAATTTTTCCCTTAATATACCATTATAATAAGTAATTTATCAGCTGTAACCAATACACGCATACTTACCTATCATTAATTTATTTTAAGGGGAGAAATGCTTTATTTTAAGGTAAACGTTTGGGGTGTAGAAATA